TCACCCGTGGCCTCACTCTCCGAGACATCGGCAGAGGCAACAGATGGACAGGAGGTCCTACATTCCTGAAGCTAGCTCCAAGCGACTGGCCTGAACCCCTGTTCACCAGAGTGAACCTGAAGGTGAGCTAAAACACACTGGGCCTCATTCACGAATAACTTCGTAAGAAACTACTCAACTTTCTTCTCAAGTTGTCCTTAAGTAGATTTCTAAGAAGTCCCCACGTGGGATTCATCAACGCACTCGTAAGCCGCTGAATTGTTCGCAGCTGTTCTCTCAGATTGATGAATCCCATTTCCTCGTAAGTACAGCGCGCGTGCCAGGTGCTTCATTAGCATAGGTACTTAGCATAAGTAACCGCCCATTAATGCCCATATAAGGGACTGCAGGGCCGTGTGCAGACGGCAGAGGAAACAGCAACAGGCCTAAAGCAGAGTTACACGGAGCAAAATAGTCACCCTTTTTTCTTCCTTTACCAGACTGAGAATAAAGTTATAAAATGTTGACTTAAAAGGCGAAATATTATGATAATAAAGTCAAACTAGCAAAATTATGAGATTAATCTAAGAATATGATGAGATTAATCTCAAAATGTTATGAGCTTAATTTAAAAATATATTATGTATTATTTTAAAGATGAATCTCAAAATGTTTTGAGATTAATCTCAAAATATTTTGGACCCTGGGAGGAGATCCAGCGCGGACCAGCGCTGAGACCAATGCAGACCCGAGGAGAGACTGGAGTGACCAGCACACAGAAACCAGCGCGGACCTATAGGAGAGACCGCATAGACTGGAGTGACCTGACTGGAGAGACCGGTGCGCAGAGACCAGCGCGGACCGAAGAGAGACCGCATAGACCAGACTTGAGAGACCAGCGCGGACCCGTATGGATCCAGGAGCATGCAGTACGGACCCGTATGGAGAGAGACCAGTGCAAACCCGTATATGGGAGAGACCAGTGCAGACCCGTCTAGATCCATGGGAGAGACCAGTGCAGACCAGTATAGATCCATAGGAGAGACCAGTGCAGACCCGTATAGATCCATGGGAGAGACCAGTGCAGACCAGTATAGATCCATAGGAGAGACCAGTGCAGACCCGTATAGATCCATGGGAGAGACCAGTGCAGACCCGTATAGATCCATGGGAGAGACCAGCGCAGAGACTCAGCGCGGACCCAGTAACCTCCTGCAGCAGCAGTATATATGCCGTTGTTCTGTGGCCCGTGGATAAAGAAATGCCCCCTATAAATAGGAAGGGGTCACTAATACACGGCAAGATTTCCAATGTATTTGATAAAGCGTTGGCACATTTCATTTCAAAATGAATTAAAAAGTAGGCCAGATCTGCAGTGAAAAAGGCGGTATATAAATAAAGATTACTAATAAAGATTACTACAAATAAATAAATACATACATCAATATGACGGACATATCACTGGAATGTTGAATTTTTATTCAACTTCACCAAAGAGGACAACCCCGGCTGTGAACATGTCGGCACTGAATGCGTACGAGTGCTCCTGAGGACTCGTAGGATTTGTACTTGCCCAAGAACCGCGTAAGTAGGATTTACGTACAAATCTGTTCCTAAGAACCGTTCGTGAATGAGGCCCACTGTCTTAACCATGTCAGTTTCTACTATTCCAGATCCGCTCCAGTACCAGACGCCGGGCAGCTACCTGGAGGCCACTGCGCATCAGCTGCACGGGGCGGCCGGTTCCAGAGACACTCTGACGGCTGATTCCTATGCCACGGCTGAGCGGAGAGAGAGTCGTTTTTAGAGGAGGTTTCCCAGTTGGAAGCTGGTAAACCAGAATCCAGATCCAGCCGCATTCTTCTGCTCGCTCCAGAGTTTGATGAGGCAACCGGGCTCATCAGAGTAGGAGGCCGCCTATGCCGTAATCCAGACCGGGCAGTAGATGAGGTGCACCCCATTGTCCTGGACCCCGAAATCCACTAACCCGTCTCATCATACAGAATATGACGAAAAGCTCCAGCACCCAGGGCCAGAGATAACCGGGTCGTACCACACCAAAGTACAAATTACATTTCGTACTAAGGTCTGGAGGTGCTCCATTATTCTCCGTTTACAGGTGGGAGGGGTAAACTTCTTTTGGAGATTGAAACGATTGGATCTGAGTTTACCGTGACGTATGCAATGCGCCCGAGTCTGTCGTTAGCATTTAACATTTAGAATAGCCGTCTCCTTTGCCTCTAACGGAGCCCGTGGGGAGTTGCGCCACAATTTTTCCAGCGATTACATTTGCTAAACATTCCTCTTTCTCCGGCTTCAAGTTCTTGATAGAACCAGACCGGATTACTTTACTATCGCATTTTTCGTCATTGCCAAACCACAACCTTCCCGTTCGACGCAAACTCTTGACGTCACCCACAACTAACTACAACACCTGCCTTCCGCGTTCTCTGAATGGTCGGTCAAAATTCAACCGATTGTAATCGCTAACATAGGGATCAGACCCAGACGTTACATGCAGTGAAATGATGATTGAACGGAGTGTACAGATGGTTAAGGCCAGGCTAGGCCAGAGAGGATGTTTGCTGAGATCAGAAGGAGGTACTGGGTGTTAGGCGGACGTGAAGCAGAAAGGCTGCGTGGAGTGCAAGAAGTGGAAAGATAGACCACATCCCCCACAAATGGCTGATCTCCCTCCAGTCACACTACGCCTTTTCAAGCCTGTTTTCGACTCCATGGGCGTAGATTGCTTCGGGCATCAAGATTGGGCGCCGGAATGAGAAGAGGTGGGGGATACTGTTTAAATGCCTGACTACAAGAGCAGTGCATCTTGATTTGATTCCCAGTATAGACACTGACACATTTTTTATGGCCCTGAGACGACTCATAGCCAGACGAGAAAAGCCCAAAGAGATTCTCTGTGACCAGGGAACTAACTTTCACGGAGGAGACCATGAGTTGCGAGAGGCAGTCCAGGCTCTTCATCCTGACCTCAAAGATCAGTTGGCCTGTCAGCAGATTACCTTTGCCTTCAACCCCCCTGGAGCACCTCATTTCGGTGGATCCTGGGACCGTGAGATCCGTTCCCTCAAGGCCGCTCTTCGCGTCACCCTGGGAGCCCAATCAGTCACAGAGGAAGTACTGCGCACCATTATGATTGAAGTTGAGGGGATACTCAATTCCAAGCCCCTCGACCACACCTCATACGAAGCGACAGATCCAGACCCTGTCACCCCCAACTGCCTTCTCATGGGGCGGCGGGATGCCTCACTGCCACAGGTTGTTTATGAAGGGCCAGAGACTCTCGGGCGAAGAAGATGGAGGCACAGCCAGATCCTAGCCGACCATTTCTGGCAACATTTCCTAAGGCATTACTTGCCAGGGCTCCAAGCTCAGTGAATCTGCAAGTGGGGGAAGTGGCCAGGATTGTTGACTCCCAACTACCCTGGGTCCTCTGGCCTGTGGGTACAGTATCACAAGTCTTTCCTGGACCCAACGACAGGATCAGATCGGCAGAAGTCACAATTAAAGGAAGAACCTACGTCCGGCCGGTGGCGAGGCTCGTCAGTCCCCCTGCTCTACCAAAGAATGAATGACACTTCAGCCTTTTAGATGTTCGTATTCACAGCTGAATCCGGGGGTGGCTGTTAAAAAGGCTGCCTTAGAGACTGTCAACCTGCATGCACAGAGCGAGAGAGAGGAGAGAAGCGAGTGCATCTTACTTTGCTGTGTTTGAGAAGTTTAAGTTTGCAGTAGTTTGGGTGTTCAAGTCACAGGTATGCGTTATCAAAAGTAAGTACTGTGTGTGGAAATGTGTAGTTAGGTGTAGTTTCATAGTTATCTGTGTTTTTACTGCTAATTGATGCGTGCGTCCATCACATGGCCATCACGTGGATCCTTTGTTTAGAGCTACGAGCGCGGCACTACACTATTACAGGTTTGTAGATGTGGATGTAACATGTTAGTGCGAGTTTGTTAGTCTTTCCATTAATAGATAAGTGTTGTATAGTAAGTTTAGTGTGTTATAGTGAAGATGTGAATATAATTTAGATATTAAGAGATGTAGCCCATTATCTAATATTATGTTTATCGTTTCTGTCTTAGGGCCACCCACACACACACACACCCATACGCTCACATGCATCCACGCTGTCCCTCACCAGATACCGAAGCTTCAATAAATCATCGTTATTTAACCACCTGACTCATCATTGAGTTATAACCGACCCACCACAGTGTTCTGGACATTCCAATCAGCATTAGTACAGTCACTCTCTTTTTCAATTATTATTATTATTATTGTTGCGGCTTCCTGCAGACCTGAGCCGGTTAGAGTGGGTCCTGTAAATGTGTAGACGCGTTTTGAAGCCTATGCTAAAGAAGTCTTGATCCGGTATTGCGTTTTAAAGTGATTTATTGGTGCAGCAAAGGTGCAGCAAACTAAATATGGAAAAATTATAAACTGATGAACTGTAACATATGACCTGATGTGAGCAAACAAAAACGTAAAGGGAAAACGGTCAACAACAAACAACGGCTACCCACTCAGCCCTGACTCATTCCTCGTCTGACAGATACTTTTAGCCTCGCTTGTGCACGCGCACCTGCCCCGTGAGCCCCGCCCCCTGCTGTGGAGCCACACACATACCACATACACACCCAGTGTACCCTGATCTGTCTCCTAAAATTATTATTATTATTGTTATTATTATTATTATTATTATTATTAATCCCAATTAAGATTTGTCACATCTGGCTCCTGAGCCCTAGGTATCTGACCTCTGCTATGGCCATTATAATATGGTTCCCTCTGGTCTCTCTCTGGATCCCAGTTGCGCTGTGAGTTTAGAAAATATGTTTTGAAACTAAAAAATGTGTTATATTTTTACACGTTCCTGTCTTCCAACGTGGTGAATAGCAACATGGGTCCAAACAACACTTTCCCATTGTTGACCTGGGTTTTAACACGGATTGGCATTTTGATTACAATATGTTGCAATCATTTTGATGCTTCTTAATACCTGCTTGTTGCACTGCTTCTTCAAAGTTCATTCTTTTCTTTCCACCTTCCTCCACTCTCATTGTTCTGTCAAAAATAACATCACCTGGAAGGGAAAAAAATATCATTGGGCTGGGGGTTCCTTAAATGTATGAAATCTTGAGAAAAAGCTTCAATATTTGTGTGTTGGTTCATTCAAGGGAATATGCACTGAAAAAAGTATAACATTGCTGTGTTTCATTTGATGTTTTTTTTTCATCCTAATAGCCTAAACATATTAAATTGTTAAGTAAAATTAAAATTTGTAAATATGTCTTCTTCAATCTATTTTTGTAGATTGATACAATATAAAAGTATAGAATAAAAATAAGATTCAAATTATACATTTGATCAAATTACTTTTATCAATCGAGCACAATTCGCGCATACGCACACATGAAATCTGAGAGAAAGTTCTGGAAGAAGAAGACATTGAAGGCAGAACTTGAGTGGACGGTTGCGGAGACTAATTTGCTGTTATAAAGTTGATGTCTGTAATCTTAAAAGTGTGTTTCATACATTTAATAAATACTGAAAAGAACGTTTGGTCTGAGTGACTTTTTAGGGAAAAAATATTGAGAGAATCTAAAATTACTAGATTACACTTTAGTGAATCTGACCAAACTTTGATGTAAAATATAAGTAATTACTATATACTTCATTTTCCACTATTTTATATTTTTGGTTGACAAATAAGTACTGTATAATAATAAGCACCCTGTACAATACTGAGTTTATTGCTTTAAGTGAAAATACTTTATGTATTTATTCTGTAAGCCTGGTGGTCCATTGATGACCAAACAAATATTTTGTGTTGATTGAAAACAAAATGTGACAAAGCAGCGATGCTACCCAGGATGCATTGCTGAGAAAAATATAAACTTCTTAAAAATTCTACATTTGAGAATCAATTGTAAGAGTGAATATGAAGTAAGTCCAAAAGCAAAATGATTGAGCAACATTTTGAATAAACTAATTTGATCAAATAAGTAATTGTATTTATTTTTACCAACCGTGATCAACAGGACCAAGCCAAAGCGTATACTCCCTGGGTTCTGTTGATAACAATTAGATTCTATTAATTGGTCATATATGCTTCCTCGAAACTCAGTTCTAACAAAGTTGCAAGCATTATTACTTCCCAGCATGAGAGTACTTCAGGACCTTACTATATGGTGATTACAATATCTAACAAACTTCCTCCAGGTGGAAGATAAAAATACACTTGCAACAAATACATATTTCATATTGGATAAAACTAAAGAGATAAACTCTGTAAAAACCCTTCTTTTATACTCAAGCCAATTTAGTTTTCTTATTTACACCAAATTCAGAAAAGAGTTTGTATGAAATGCATGCATTTTTCTAATATTTGAGCCAATGTAAAATATTGACTTACACCAAATTAAGAAAATGCAGAAATTTAGATTGAACTGAATGCTTTCTGAACGTTAGGTCAATGTATAATCTTTATTGTAAATGGTTACTCTACTTTTATTAAGTTGGTCCAATGTTTCATTTATTACAGTGTGCTATCCATAATCTGACAAAAATGTTTGCCCAGTTTGGGCATTTCTAGTATTTGGCAGTAGACACAGTAGTAGTAAAAATGGCAATTGTCATATTATTTAGATGCAGTGGTAGTATTAGTTGTAGAAATAGTACTAGTGAGCAATTAAAGTAGTAGTATAATAAGCAGCGGACAGGTGGCGCAGTGGTTACCACTTACTTCTACTACTAGTAGTAGTAGTAGAGTTTTAGCAGCGGCAATCGTAGTAACAGCAGTAGAAGTACTGGTACAGCAGTAATAATACTATCAGTAGTGATTGTAGCAATTCTGGTGTAAATGTTACTGCAGTAGTACTAACTTAGTTCAGAAGTAGTAGCAGTGCAATAGCTGCAGTAATAGTAGCAGCACTATCAGCTGTTGTTATAGAAGTAGTAACAGCAGCAGCAGCAGCAGCAGTAGCAGTAGTAGTAGTATTTCTGCTAGTAGTACTAGTGCAGAAGTAGTAGTAACAGCTGCAGTAGTAGCAGAAGTATTAGCACTCGCCATCATCAGAGTCCAGATTGGTCTCCACATCATCCAGCAGCGGTTCTTCTGCTTCACCGTCTCCATGACTGACGTGACGGGACATATCGTTTAATGATCCGTGATTTAAAGTCCAGCAGGCCAGACCATGTTTACTTTAAGAATCTCCCCATGACTGAACATCCAGACTGTCCCCTTGACGGAAGCGTGAGACGCCAAGGCGAATCTAGGCATTTAAGCCGGGGCAGGACCAAATAACACGTCACGCAACAAAAATAAATCATTCAAGGATGCATATACAATAATAACACATGTAAGGTAGGCCTACTATTTGACCCGTGAAAAATGTATTCTTATTTCTTTAACATATAAAATAATTGTACATGTTATCGTGTTTGTTTGTTGTTGTTTAACTATTATCTGAATTGCAAAATACATTTGGAATATTCTTAATAAATACAAAGAAATATAGAAACCTACGGAGCCCTGCAAGGGCCAGGGGTAAAAAAAAAAAAAAGCTGTGAGCACGGATTATTAAACTGTGAGCACGGATTATTAAACTGTGAGCACGGATTGTAAAACTGTGAGCACGGATTATTAAACTGTGAGCACGGATTATTAAACTGTGAGCACGGATTGTAAAACTGTGAGCACGGATTATTAAACTGTGCGCACGGATTATTAAACTGTGAGCACGGATTGTAAAACTGTGAGCACGGATTGTTGAACCGTGCCCACAAATGCAACACGTGAGGCTATATGCACGCATCACTTCCGGGTTCTGCGTCAGATGAGATGTCACTTCCGGCGTCGCGTCATACCCGGTCTACTACTACTGATTACAGAGACTATTTTTGTTGTATCGTGTTTTTAGTGTGAGATGACGTCGAAAGTTTCAACGTTTACTTTTCAACGGAGACAGGACAGTACGTCTGGTTATCACTGCTGTGTTCCACGATGCTCAAATTCGGCCAGATTTAACTCTGCTTTAAGTTTTTTCACATTCCCTGGAGATGCTTTACTGCGAAAAAAGTGGATCGTGAAAATAAGAAGGGACCAGTTTAAGGTTACGTCAAACACACGGGTCTGTTCTCGCCACTTTGAGGCTGAAGATATGATCCAGCCCACAGCCCACAAGGACGTCGTATGTTGAGGAAAGGTGCTGTTCCGGTGCTTTTTGACTGGACCGGGTATAGCCTCCCTGCTCCACGACCCGGTGTTTGGGAGCGAACGGAGCGGCCAAATCCTCCAGGTTTAGACCCTGAAGAGGATCCAGAGTTGGGGGTGGCCTGCTCTGACCACGACTACTGCTCCACCACTTCTGAACCAGCTGCTCTGGATTTAGCCCTGAGCAAAGCAGCGGAGTCCCAGGCTCAAGTAGAGGCGCTCCAGAGAAGGGTCGAAGAAATGACCATCAGTTGCAGGTTCGGTCTGCAACGCTTTGCTGGCTCTGATGAAGACATCAGGTTGTACACGAGGTAAGCTAGAAAGCTTTGAATAATCCAAAATGTAATAATTATTAGCATTGTAAAACAGCAAGTATAGAATACTGTATGGTGAATGTATGGTAAAATACTGTATATAGTGCAAGAAATATGTTGTCATTTGATATTGTATATTTATGATGAAGTTTTATTTAAGCAAAAATATGATTTATTTGATTGAATTCTCAATTACAAAAATATCTGATAGCTGCAGTTCTACTGGTTTATGGCCTTTTTTCCATATAAATGAGATGTTACTAACTGAGGATCTTGTGCCCCTTGCTCAGGTTTTCAAGTTATGCCCACCTGATGTCTTTCTGGAGCCAGATAGAACCAGCCTTGCCTTGCATGGTGCGCTTGACCAGCAGTCAGGCAGAAACGTCTGGACAAGATGTTCGCCATGCTTTTCCAACCTCACTTCAACCCATTGATGAGTTTTTTCTTTTTATGAATTATCTAGCTTTGGCTCTGGTGCAGAAGGATCTGGCTAATAGATTTTGTATTCACCAGTCCACTGTGAGCCGCATCATCACCACTTGGGCCAATTTTTTATATCAAGTGTTGGGAGCTATTGGTATTTGGCTGGATGAGGAGGCCGTACAACATTATATGCCAGAGGTTTTCTCAGAGTACAGTGACACACAAGTCATCTTGGACTGCACAGAGCTGCGCTGTCAAACACCTGACTCCCTCTTGCTGCAAAGTGAGCTGTACTCCAGCTACAAATCGCACTGCACTTATAAGGGACTGATTGGAATGGCTCCTCATGGCGCAATCACATTCATCTCTCCACTTTATGAAGGCTGTGTCAGTGACCGGGAAATTCTCAAGCAGTCAGGCCTTGTAGCTCTGCTGAAGCCCTCAATGGCTATTATGGTGGACAAGGGTTTCCTTGTGGAAGACCTGGTCCCCTGCAAAGTCCACATACCCGCCTTCCTGAAGAAACAGAAACAGCTGTCTGGAGCCGCAGTAAGGAAGACTCAGTCCATTGCCAGGCTTAGAGGTCACGTGGAGCATGTCATCAGAAGGGTGAAGGAACACAAATTGTTCAGGACAGTGCTCCCCTTGTCTTCAACTGGAAATATTAATCAGCTTTATGTTGTTGCCTGTCTGCTTGTAAACTACGAGAACGGACCTTTAGTGAAAGCCCGGGCCAGTCCCTTTCCATAATCATCATCGGCCTCTATGGACCAATACCAATGTTTTTCTATCATTTCATGTAGTGTGTTTGATTTTCTGATCTGTGTTGTGATTTAGGGCTATGTATATGTTTGGAGAAAGCTAAGTTGTTTTTGTAGCCTTGTCCCTTTCCATAATACTTAGATACATGTTGTATCCACTTCTCTACCCCTTGACTTAGCAAATAAATGCATTAAGACTTCTAACTAAACTATGTTGTCCTTTTACTAAAATACACCATAATGTCCTTAATTAAATAGATAATTAGTAAATACTCTGTCTTTATTCTAATTGTAGCAAAGTGCAATTTGTGGGAGTTGTGCCCAATAAACCAGTCTATGCAGATTTGGTACCAAGCAGAACAGAAATTGATTTGTAAAATGTAATATTGTATTTCAAAAATGACACACAAGTCAAACACTAAATCATGAACAGAAACAAAATAAGATGCACTAAATCAAAATCATGCACATCCAGTAAACACAATAACTTTGCACTACTTTTTTTAAAGACTTGTAGCATTTACAGCTAGTTAAGAAACATTACTATTTATTTTGTGTGCTACTGTCCTGTATGTGTGCTCCAACAATTAAATTTTCCCACTGTGGGACGAACAAAGGTTATCTTAAGGGAGGGTTCTCAATTTGAGGATAAATATTTGGAGATGTATGTATTAAAAAAAACAAATCACATCGCTCCTTTATGCTTAATATCACTGTGTCTCTCCCTGTAAATGCGCTGCACAAACATGTTGTCATTTGCACTGATGACAAAATCACACCAGGTCATGCCAGTGATGAGCAGCTGTCCCTGTATCTGCCAGTAGTACGCATGGCTCTCCTTAAGCTTATGTTGGCCATGCTGCACTGAGAGGTACTTGCAGTCAATGTAGCTCTGCACATTCGGGCATTTCAATTCGACCAAGCCCCATGTGCGTCTCTCCAGGGGATCATACACCAGCCCATCAGGTGACGCTCCGGGCCAGGGCGCATCAGGATGAATGACCAGTCCACATTGTGATAGGTTCACGTTCTTCATGGCTGCGTACTCCTTTAAAGCTCCCGCTTCCATGTCAAGCCCTCTTCTCATGATGGCAGTAGGTCTTGTGCCCCTAAGGATCCTCTCAGCCAGGTTCTCTGCAGACGTAGATCCTCTAACATGGCAGACTTCCCTGAAATGAGAGGAGGTCACCCTTTCTCGTCTGAGACTATGCCACTCAGCTGCTGCACTTTGACCTCTGGTTGAAGCTTCAATTTGGTGACACTGGGCCAAGGTCACGTGCAGGGAGTGCAGGTGAAGCTGCTGCTGAGAGGTTGCCACAAAATGACACTCGGTTGGTGGTAGATGGTAGTCATCAAGTGGCAGTTTGGGAAAGGGTGGTGCATCCTTATGTATGCAAACACCCTGGGCTGAAGGCGGAGGGTGGTGGTAGGACAGCACACTACCAGCTTACACTTTTCCAAAAGCTGAATCTACCAGTGGCTTGTCAGCAGAGATGTTCATCTGGCAGATCAATGGCAGCACATCTGGGTCAAAAGCAGCATAGTGTGCTGAAGGATCAAGTGTTGACGGTACTGGCAGTTCACCCCTGTAAGCCTTGTAGAGCGTTGATCTAAGGATAATGATAATTACAGTTAATGCAATTGTGCATCGGATATAATAACACAATGTGAAAACAAGTTTTCCAATTAAGGTTGCCTGCAACGGTTTTCAGAATGCAGAATTCTGCAATTTCAGATTATCATTATCTACTTTTTATCCTGCCCTATATGTGTATACCTTTACACAGATTGATTGAAGCATTTACAGCTAGCTAAGAAACACAGCAGCTACTTATATTGTATATCGTGTGTGCTCTTGCTACTGTCCTGTATGTGTGCCTCAAGTAATGCCTCAACTAATACAAAATAAATTAAAAAATACCTTTTTCCACCTGTTGCAGAAGCTCCTGGTGTGGCCTTCATAACCACCATTGTGTCCACTCGCCCCGGCTTCACACCCTGTAAAGTTGGTTTAAGATAGGACACTTTATTGATCTCACAATGAAGACATTTACATGAGCTATACCACATAAATTAGTACCAACCATGGTTCGCGGTTTATGCCACTTTTGCTTGGTTTCAGTGCAGGAAAGAACAGGTGGCACCACAGACATCCCACTCTCACAATAATGTGCAGTCTGGTACAGCAGAGCAACTATGTGGTTGCACAGTGCCTGGCCAGCCACACAAGAGCAGGAACTCCCAACAAGCACAACTGGGGTTGATTCACGGAGTGTAATCTGCAACAATAATAGAGGGTTTTAGAGGAATTGTCTTACGGTGTCATGCTTTTTTTAATGCAATGTAAAAGGCAGCCAAGTAGGGTGAAAGTATATGTACAATTGGAAGGTTTAGAAATTATTTCTGTTTGTTTAATAACCTTTCATGAGTAATCAAAATCA